AATGCAATTACTAAAACAAGGGTGGTAGTAGACCATTGGCCTAACTAGCCCAGTTCTATTTCTTGGGCTTCCAAAATTCTCTTCCAAATATCTCCTTTTGATTTTGGAAGTCTTGCTTGCCTAAATCAGTGGTTCCAAAACTTGGGTTCCCAGATGTTTTGGACTAAAACTCCTAGAAGCCTTCACCACCAGCTGTGTTGTCCAGGATTCCTGAGTGTTGTAGCCCAAGAACATTTGAGGATCCAAGACCGAGAGCCACTGGCTTAGAATGACAGAATCATGGGACTGTAGACTAGGAAGTGATCTTCAGGGTCATGTAGACCAGTGGTCCCCAACCTTGGGCCTCCAGATGTTCTTGGACTTCAACTCCCATAAATCCTGGCCAGCAGAGGTGGTGGTGACGGCTTCTGGGAGTTGTAGTCCAAGAACACCTGGAGGCCCAAGGTTGGAGACCACTGATGTAGACCAACCCTTGGAGCTTGCAAGAAATTCACAGCTACGTCCTTGACAAGGTGGCCATGTGACCTTTGAGGTGACCCTAAATGAAAGAGGAATTGCCCTCATACTTCACAGACCAACCAACCAACCTGTATGGTCCTCACATGATATAAAGGTAGGGGCAGGTGATGCCTTTTTGAACAAAGAGCTCGCTTTCAGCCTGAACCAGTCTTCATCAGATTGTCCACCGATATTTTGTGGATAGCGCAAGAAGAAAATATAAATAAGAGTCCGAACAATTCTTGGCCAGTGTCTGTGCACATGGGCTGTTTCTGAGAGGTGAGTTCAAAAACACACATGTATGGACCCATCAAGGTGATCAGAGCACATATCTCCACTGGTAAAGTAGAAAAGGGGAAATAGAGATATATAGATTCCGTTTCGTTCCACATAGTATTTCACCCCCTTCTTAAAAGCTCCTAATCAAGGATTGCAAGCTGAGACCATCAAGCAATTATGTATTACCTGTGTCAGGACGTTAGGAGTACATTTATTACAACAGGCTGTCCTTGTAATGTATTCAATTATTCACTTGTGGTGTATTAAATTATCCTTTTTCACTTGAAAAGGAACACTATATTTTAATGCGAAAGAAAGAGCAGTATCGTGGAATGAGGAAGAGGGAGCCAGCTGGTTTCAAGGTCCTCAAATGGTTATATGCCATAAAAATCAGAGTGGTGAGAGAGAAGGGGGGGAGAGAGAGAGATGATCAGGAAGGGAAGCTACGAAAAATGACAAAAGAGTGGCAAAAAATGGCAGGAAAGGAGTAATTAAGGCAAGCCAAGTGGCTGGTTGAAAGAAGGTTCTCTCATTTCTAAAGCCAATTACCTCAGGAGGTGGTGAGTGTTCCAGCTCTGGAGGTATTTAAGAGAAAAACGGGACAACTCTCCGTCAGATCTGCTTTGATTTGGATTCCTGCCTTGAGCGGGGAGTTGGAACCGATGGCCTTAGAGGCCCCCTTCCAACTCCACGATTCTAGGATTCTGTGAAAGTGGTTTCGGACGCCTGAAAGGACTGTTGGTTTTTTTTTAATCTGAAGATCCCAAAAAATATGTTTAGGGGAATGGCTGTAGACTCCTGGGGGACTGGAGACCCCTTCCTTTCTAAACACATGG